AGCTCAGGCTTTAATTCTTGAGCAATATCAATTCCAGAAGCATATCTACACATGCAGATGCTAAGTAGTCAGTCTAACTGTTACAAACAATACCTGAGTTGTAGAGAGAATAGTACTTACACAGAGGAAGAAAGAGGAATGTCACTGCCTCTAGGAAAAATACTAAGGAAATAGTGGTGTGCTTCTGTATGGCAGCTAGTTCCCTAGCATGGAACACCTTGTTCAAGACTTAGAGTAAGATCATTTCCTTTGTCTGTCTGATTTTCAATGTAATCTGAAGAACCTAATCTGTTATTGAAATAAAATGGAGCATGTGAACATTTGCTGATACAAAGGGAACTTCAATGATTTGTGTAGCTGCATCTGCTTGGAAGAGAGACTGTAAGAGCGATTGGCTTGGACAAACAAAACTGGCTCGAATGAGTTGTCTAGGTGGAAGGAGTTCTGGTGCAGGATCTTTCTTTTTGCCAGCTATTATTGTTGAACTTTGAAATTTTGAAGACTGAGTCAGCCAAGTATTTGTGAGAGATGAAAACAAAGAAAGATGATCAGGGCAGTATTTCTTGTACTAGGACACAGATGGTAGATCTGTTTTGTTTCTGACCTGATACATCAGCCGTTGATGTTTTCTTAGGAGCAATTTCAATACAGTAAATTTTGGGAAAAGGCAGTAGGACAGGTTCACCAAAAACACTATGGAAACTTAAGTTGTTCATTTTTAGATTAAATTGGAAAAAGCTTAAAATGTTGAAAAAGAATAAAGTTTCTCAAATGCTTTTCACGTTCTAAGGACGTTTTACTACGTGCCAGTTTAACTTTGGTTTCTGTTTGACTTTAGATTGATACTGAACATTACCATCAGTGAAAGACAACATAAAACCCAGAGGTGAAGAGGGAAAGTTTTTTTTATTACTTGCTCTACCATCATCTCATCTTTTTCTTTTTTTTTTTATATTAATACTTCTATTTTAAAATGTTTGTATTAAGGAGTTCTCCAACAGCCCCTGAAAGTGTTTCATTTGGATTAGAGCTTTTATTTTACGTTACTTGTATGTTGACCCTGCCCATAAGGTTTTTATCTTTCTGAAAAGCATTGGTGGTTAATTTCTGGTATGACGATTAAATCTCTTACAGAACATCTTATAGCTCAGAATTGCTGATGTCATGACTATCATTCATTGGTTGCTATGGAAATTAAGTAGGAATGCATTCAATATTAATACTGGATTCCTACTATGTGCACGGTGGAAAAGTACTCACTTTCTCCCGGAATGCTAGCTGCAGTGGTCCTTGTGACAAGGAGTGCTCTTTGCAAATACGTCCAGGGGACCCCCTTCCTTACTGTTCTGCAGTCGTTGGCCACCATGGTGTGGCTTATGCTGTTCATACTGATTTTGTGCACCCAGTAATTACTCATCCCAGTCCTTGAGTGTGTGTGTGTGGTAGTGTGTCGCGATGGATTTTCATGGTGTTTTACTTATATAGGATGAGTCGCTGCCCAGGCACTTCACAGTGTGTTTCTTCTCCTTTTGTTTGAAAAGGAAGCTCCTTTCAGACATCCTGAAAGATTATGTATACAAGTGGGGGATTCATATATCTGCTTTTTAAAGTGGTTTCCATGCAGTCTCTTTCCTGTGGCAGGACAACAGAGTTTGGTGATGGTTTATTTTGTAAGTCCTGAATTCTGGTGTTTAACTTCCATTTCAGGCTGTAAGGAGCAGACTATGTCTTAATGTAAGTAGCAGCTGTATTTTCTTAATGTAAGTAGCAGCTGTATTATTTATCTCTATTAAATTTTGAAGTGTCATTCATAAAATACTGTTGCACTAATAAGTTGAGCCAATATTTCAAATTTAAGGTTAGATAGTGATACAATTACAATTTAACACTTGCTTTTCTAGTACCCTTACATTTCATCTGTTTTAGTCTGTAGCAGAGCTGTTTGCCAAGTTTCTTGAAATATCTGTCTCTTTGATTACTACACATTAAAAGTCAGGTAACTATTGTAGTGCTGGTTAAATACAGGAGCTGTATGTATCTACTCTCAACCTGGTGGAGGGGAGGAAAAAATTTTTAGCAATAAGCCTGAAGACTTGGAAGGGGACCTGCTGCTTAAGGGAGGCTTGGCTAAAAAATGAAGAGGATCACAGCGTTCTGATTATACAGTTAAAAGTTGTTTTTACAAGAAAGAAACTTAAAAACATATCGATATCTATAAGGAATTAACACACCATCACCGTACCTTAGGAAAAAACCCAGGGAGAATTTTGAAACTGTTTATAAAATATACAGAGCCACTGATAATGATGAGCTTCTAGCTTCAGCAAAAATGGTGCAATGGGAAGAACAAGTGTGTGGTTTTTGGGGTTTTTTTGTGAAGGGCTTAAAGTGTAAGTGCAAACAAAGCACCTTTTGTCTGCTATATCATAAAGTCATATTGTGTGGCAGTGTAACTTCTTTTATAATTCAGAATTGATTGATGCTCAATGAGGTCTGTAGATTGTACCCTTTTGGTGTGGGTAGATGCACTTGATATGTGCAATAATGTCCCCATTCACTGGAGTGGAAGCAGTATTGAAAACGGCAGCTAAACTTGCTGTCTCTAGCAGCACTGGCATGACCGATTGCTGGAAGTTGAAGCATGGGACTTGAATAGAGGTTTGGCAACACAGTGGAAAATGGTTGTCTGTTTTGGAGTGTGACATGAGGCAATATTTACCCTGCTCTGTTTCTCCCTTTTCCAAGCAAAAGGCAGGTTGCCAACTACAGGGACTGAATAGTTTGGATCTTCAGTTGGAAACATTTTGCCTACGCTGGTGTAAATGAGGTGTGCAGATAGCTCAGAAAATCTGAAAGTTGTGCTCTATTTGTATGATATTTTACTTAATGATCATGAAACTAGATGACTCATTTCGTGCATAGTATCTTTTTTTCTGTCCTCTGTAAACATCAGCTTTGTTCCTGTCTATACCCCGACTTTTTTTAAAGACAAGTTGACAAACTTTCTTAAGTTACTAAACCCAAAACTTTCCCATGACAAATATGCACAACCACAGAATTTCTGCATCTCTGCTACTTCCAGAGGAGTCATAGCAGAGCCGAAGTTCCATCTATGATAGCTGTTGGTATAAATATGTATTTCCAGACACATCATAAATACATCTTTAGTTGTTACTATTTGTGTATTTTTAGAATTAAAATTTTCTAGTTAGTGTGCGTTCTGGAGAAATGGAGATCTTGCGCAAGTGTTTAGCGAGCTCAGCTGAGGGAGTACAGTTGCTGTTCTGGCAGCTCCAGCATTCAATCATAAGGCTTCAGCTTCACAGAGCTCATTTTGAAGAAGCTCTAAAGTGTCAGATCTTTTATTTATCTTGTAGTTTCTATTCAATTTGTTTTTCAAGCTGTTCTGCAGCTGTGAGGGCTGGTTTAAATGAAATTCTTGCAGAATTGTTCCATCTAGATTTACTCTGTTTTTAAAAGTGCCAAATAGTGAGATTTAATATTAAAGTCCTCTGTCACTTAAGATCTTTTAACTCTTTCACCAGTTTAATGATATGTCGGGTGATATGTAGAGTCTCTTCTTTTGGAGCATCTTGCCTTGCATAAAAAAACCCTCAACTCTCAGATTTCTATTAAATCTTTAAAACAGTCTGAGTTTGTCCATTTAGTTGAATCTATTGTGTTATTCTGATAGTGCTTCAACATAGTGCTAGAGAGTGAAATCTTTTTGTGTCCATTTGGTTAAGTACGGTAATGTAATTAATGAAGCAAAAACTGGGAGGTTTTGGATAACTCATGACAAAATATTCTGTGATGGAGTGGGATTTCTCAATAGATTATTAAACCTAGGTTTAACCACTGCATTAAGTGACAAAAGTATTGATTCTGATATTTTAAAACCATTTCTTCACACTGTAGCCAGTCTAGAATCTAAGTGCTGAATTACATACAATTCTTACAATGTTGCTTAAATTGGGGTTTCTTTGACCTGTACCTCTTATTACAAAAATTCAGAAAGCTTTTCTTTAATAGTTTCTATGGTTTTCTTCAAGAGTTAAGTACTTTGAATAACGATATGAATGTTTCTGAGAGAACATTTCCTTCCCATATCAAAAGAACTATGATTGAAAAAGGTAGGGAGAAATTGGAAAACTTAGAGCTTTTTGGGTTTTTTCCCCCGAATGTAAAATGAAACCATCCACAGTACCTCGAGGACTACACTCTGATGTATTTCTTGAAATTTCTTTCTCTATAGGCTAATATTATTCTGGTTTATTAATTTAAAAACTTTGAAACTTGCAGTTTCTATTCACTGTTGTTTTGCTGTTTTTTTTTTTCTTAACTAGTACTTGATTAGATGAATATACAGAAAACCGATTCTTTAAAAAACTTTTTGTGAGAATGATGAATGTTTCAGTGTCCACATAAGAGCCTGGTGTTGTAATGAAGATAAACAATTTTAATTTACAATTTTAAAAACAGGGAGGGAGGGGAAAGAAGGATGTCTTCTGTTTGCAACATTGAAATTTCTTGTATTTGGATATGAACGTTCAAATATATTTGATCATCTTACTATGTAGTACAATTCAGTTTTTGATACTAAATATATTTATCATTATTAAAAAATAGTTTATTCAGTCGTCTCTGTATTGACTTAAGGTTTTCATGCTATGCTGGTAAAAAAAAGTGACTAAAGCTCATGCTGAATAAGCAGGAAAATAGAGTTCTACTTTTCAATTTCATTTCTTTCCCACGTAAGGAAAGTCTGTCTTTCCCTCAAAATTTCTACATGTATTATGCTTTTCTACTGATGCTCATGCCCCATATAAGTACAAAGGCAAACCTGAATACAAATACAGGTCTTAAAAGAAGGCTAGAAAAGTGCTGTTAATGTCTATCATCTCAGCTGTACTGAGATGAATTCAGAGATTGGGTTTTTAAACCCAAGGAGTTTAAGGCACTACTACTAAGCTTTTCTCCTCCTGCTCTCTTTCCTGCAGTACTTGGGACACGTTGAAGTGGATGAATCCAGAGGAATGCACGTCTGTGAAGATGCTGTGAAGAGACTGAAATCTGTATGTATATCTGTTTTGTTAAAAAGTTGGCTTTGGGACTGTGAGTGTTACTGGAAAAGGTCCGCTGGGCCTCAGTGAAAGACTGAGCTTTTGACCCACGTGAGGAGACCAGTTGGCTGGTTTGAGAGCCGTGCTGTGGTGAGGGGGACGTGCTAATCTGGTGATGAGAGGGAGAGAGTTACAACTGTTCCTTCTACTGGCAAACTATTTGCGAAACAAACGTGTAAAAAATCCTCTGTGACCTTTGAGACGAAGTTGGTACCCACATGGGACTTCAGCCGTTGTTTTTTAACAGTTCTTTCTCCCTCTCTCTTTTCCTCTCCCTCTCTCTCCCCCTCTGTTGCCTGCCACTTTAATAGTGACTTAATTCACCGTTATTATATAAAATATTACTTGATTTAGGCTGCTTTTTTCTAATGCACTGCAACATTGTAGTCATGCATGAAATAATCTGGCTTGCAACTGCTCAAAGTGGCCTGAAGGCTGCCTAATTCTGGTATGTCATGAAGTGGGCTGCTCTTAGTTCGGCTTCTGTGAACGTTTTCTCCTGTAAACGGCGCCCGTTCAAAGCTCTTTGTATTTCTCTGGCTCATTTGAAGAGGCCTTGTCATCTATTTCCTGCAGTAGTAATATTAAAAATCCTGTGGAAATAGCAAATTCTGAAAGGCAGTGATCAGTCTGTCAAGGAACTGAGCCTAAAACAACGTTGAAGAGAACAGAAGGAGAAAGGACATTAAAATTTGAGGTCTGAATGGAGATAGAGAACTGTCATCCTTTTCATCACTTCTCTTATGTGTCTTAGCTATGTACATTCTTCAATGGTGCCTTTAGTGGGAGAAACTCTTGTATCCTTGTAGCTCAACAAATTGCTGAAAGTACATCAAACACTTCTTCTGCACCTTTGCAAACTTAAGATATCTGCTACTGGATATCACTTTTTTTCCTCACCAAATGGCTTCCAACTAAACCTGTTCTTCCCAGGACACAACAGAGGATTGTAAGTTATCTTTTCTTCCTTCTGTTGTGCTATAAAGTTTCTCAATTGGTTTAGTGCTCTGATTAAAATCAACTCTTTTCATTCTTTTCTTTCTCAGCTAATGTATAGCAACCTGTTAAAGCCACGTCCCATCTGTTCCCATTTAGTCCAACAGTGATTGGTGGTTGATTTTTATTAAAAAGGACCACACAAAATATAAATGAGTTCCTTTGTTCTATGGATTTCATTTACGTAGCTGGAAGTGCAAGTACTGACCACATAATGAATTGCATCCGTTTTTGTCTTGTTCTGGTTTTTGTTCTGTCAGAATACTTTCTATAAGCACACCAAATAACCTTGCAGTATCTACTTTATGCAGCTTCTCTCGTTCTCTTCTCTGGGCAGCTACACTGTGAAGTATTTGTTCCCTAGTTTTCTGTAAACTTTTAAGCCCACAAGCCAGTTAAGTGTAGCTAAGCTTATAAATAATGGGTCACAGTAAAAGCATACAACTCAGTTTCTTCTGGAATCTGGATAATTCCAGGATTGTGATTCTTGATCACCTGAATTATTGATTCAAATGTCAGACTTGGGTATCTAACTTTCACAGTGCCTTCTCTGGAAGTAAATAATTTCATTTCCCTTTTCTGTGCTATGTCATTATTCCAAATGGTGAATGGCAAGAACTTAGCCATTCTCATAAATTCAACGTTTTTCATCAGATAATTTTGGTTTCTTCTGCTGTTTGAAATTTTTGATGTCTATATATAAATTAGACACAAGCACGTCTCTTACGATTGCTGTTTGCATTGTCTCCTTTGTCAGTGTTGGAAGTTGAGAAGGTGAGGTGAAATTCTCATTGGGCCCCAAGAGGAAGATTCAGATTACTGAAACTACTTTGTGCGCTGTAGTTGCTAGACTCCATCAGATCCAAGGTTCATTGGGAGCTGCTCACCACAATTCAACCCCTGTTCCCCCCCCCAGCACGTAGGTTTTAAACTGGGGACTTTCTTTAGGAATCTACTATTACCGAAAGCTCTTTTCTGTACAATATGCTCTCCTAATTGGCAAAAACCAAACCACTGGATGATGTTTCAGCATGCAAGGAATGGGATAAGAAAACAGTTTGTTCTTTTGGTAGTCTCTTGCTTTCACAATACTTGGTTATTTTGATGGGCTTTCTCTTGGTCTTGAAAGAATTACAAGTTTGAGCTGCTGTGCTCAAACCTGGATGACTAGCTTAAGGGAAATTGGACTTCACTTTTCGTATGGTTAAACTACATCAAAATGTATGTGGCCTGTTTAAATCTTTACTCTTTTCTTCGCAGGTAATGTGTAGGTTTTATAAATCCAGTCAATAAATAATAGTTCTGATCTCATACACAGAATTATTGAATACTTGTATCTTGTATCTTCTAAAAATTAAGTCCTGTCTGTCTTATTTTAATAGCTAAATTTTTTTTCTCTTAATTCTTGTTCTCTGACAGTTGGCAATTCATTTGGGGAACTAAAGTCTATTCTTTTTTAGGGTTGACTAATGGATTTTAAAACATTTTATGGGATTTATAAAGAAGAATATAGAACAGTGTTAATCTTGGGTTTAGGAATAGCTTAATTTCTGCTTTGCTTTTCATAAGAAAAGATGCAAACAAATCTTTCTGTTTATCGTGAGTAATAACCTTTCAGGGTTGGGTTTTTTTTTTTTATTACCTGCTCGTTTAATGTGGTGTAATTGTTTTTGAGCACTGCGTCTTGCAGCACTTGAAACCAGATGATGGTGAGCATTCTATTCGGGCATTGTTTAATTGAGAACTGAGTGAAAGAAGCCACGTTTATATAGACAATCCCTCATCCATTCTGTATTCTGTTGTTATAATTTTATAGCTCTGAAATTACGCACCAACAGTACTATAATGTGTAGGTTATAATATTGTTTAGAATGAATCAAGACAAACTTGAGTTATGTCCCTGTTTCCTGTCTGATGAAATAGCACCCCAGTCTTATTAATAGATCAGAAACCCATGCATTCAGCTATCAGTCTGTTATTAACATGGGTTTACATTACCAACAAAGCTTGCGTTTTTCCCTTAGTAGGATATTACCACTGTAGGTTACATTCTTCCCTTAGAAGGGATATATTACTAACTGTGTATACATTTCATATCTGGTAAGATCCTTGTATTTGGACACTAAGCACTAAATGGTTTCTTCAGAACCATTTAACTGAATTTAAAATATTTAGCGCAAACTGGAAAATAGCTTTGCAAGTGCCCTGTAGGTGTATTTGGCTCAGGTACGGGAACATCATATAAAGACAAAAATATGCTCTCTCGTTTCATGTTTTGATTTTTAAATCAGCTTTAGCGTGTAGTATTGGTTGCTAACTTGCCACTTTTTGTTTTAAATGATGCATTTGTTTTAATATATGTTCTTGTTTTAGCAGGTAAAGAGACATAATTTAATATTTTAAAACGTGCATTAGTTTTCTCTAAACTACATTAACTTAGTGTTGTTTAAAACGCATTTTGCATGATGCCTTTCCCATTAACCTTTTCTTGTTTATTAAAAAAAAAATCTTGTTTAACAAGCATTTTGCTGAGAGCAAAATTAACCATCACCTAAAAATGAGGTAGCTTCTGGTGAACCTCTTTAGCTTTTGCTATCTTTAAAAAGCTGTTATTTAGTGTAATGCAATAGTTGTTGCTCAACTTGGCAGCAGCATCCAACCCCTTCTCATTATGTACGCAACACTGTGATTAATCCATTAGTTCCCCTGCTAGTGTTCAGCATATCCTATCAAAATACATAACCATTCCTGCCTCTAAAAATTGTCAGGCTTTTCAGCCGACTGAACTTAGAGATGTTCTTTATACAGCATCAGAGGTGGCATAAATACGTTACAGATAGTAAAAAGCTCTGTTGGGCAGAGGGGCACACCCCAACGCACACACCCCAATGCGGATCAGGAAATGCAAAGTTGAGATTGACAGTCCCTTCTTAACTTTGTGTTTCCTGGCTTTTGTTGGCTTGCGTCAGAACCATAGCTTTGTTTTAACTATAACTTTGTTTATCAATCAATTTTCAAGACGCTGCCTGAGGGTATTTGTAGTAATATTTTTAATATAGTATTGTTATCAGTGATCAACATGTTGGAATTGCACAGTGTTAATTTGGGGTCGAGGGCTGTCACAAAGACACTCTGTCTCATCTGCAATTCTCCACCTCCTCCTCGTTGCTACTGTACCATAGCTTGCTTACAAATGAAACAATTTGGAAAGATAGCAGGAACAGCGATACGCTTCATGCCACCTTCCCTCAAATGTGGAGCAGCGTGTGGCTGTGTTCGCAGAGCACCAGGCCTGGTGAAGTGTTCTCTTGGGAGATTGGATTAGATCTTGCAGTTTTCTTTTCACAGTCTGGTAACAAAATAAAGCCAGTGAACTAAACTGCATGCAAATACGCTTAAAATTGTGTGCTGCCTTTTTTCTTGATGTGAATTAGGCAATCGGTATAATCGCTTCCAGGCTGAAGAAATTTAGGAAGTTGTAGGTCAGCTCTTGGTATCTTTGCACTTGCCAAACTGCCTGTCCCTGTCTGAGCTGACTTCAAAGGGGTCTCAGCCTATCAATTCGGAGTTGTAGAATGAATATCTAGTATTTGTATAAATACTGTATAAATATCTATACAATATTTATATATTGTATAAAGCCTTGGAAGGCTTTAGAGAGAGTGAAAGAGGAAGGGATCTTATTTGTGGTTTAGTTGTACCACAAGGTAAGATTCCTCACTGTTCAGAGAGAACTGTGTAAGATGTGAAGTGTAAGAGTAGCATGTAAACAAAAGTAACAAATAAACAGAATGAAATGAAGTAGTGTTTAACTCTGCTTTATACCAGCCAGACGTGCTTCTCCAGCTTACAAAGCATTTGCTTTAGGGAAGAGTGATCAATACAGAGCAAACTTGACTAATTCTGGAGTTAGAACTTTGCATTTCACAAGAGCCTGTACAGTATTTTAATTGTTTAACCACCATGTCTGCTGCCAAGTTTGGTTTGTAACCTAACTAAAAGGGACTAAACAAGGAAGAGTGAAAATAAAGTAACCACTTTGCATGAAATTGGGGCTGAGGTTCTCTTCTTTCCACCAATTTCAAGGCAGTAGCTTATTAGAATTGTGTGCGTGCCCTTTGATCTGCATTTTCATGGGATTATTTTCACATTTGCCTGTCGCACCTTCTCATGGATAACTCTAAAACCCCCTTCCTTTCCCTCCAAACCCTATTCTTGTGTGTGCTTGTTGGTTTGAAACCCTGGGACATTTTAGCTACCTACAGTAATAGCGCTCGACTTGTCCCCCCTGTTCCTCCAGGAAAGGAAGTTCTTCAAAGGCTTCTTTGGAAAAGTAAGTTTAATGCCTCGTTTGTGCTTGCACTATAAGGAGTTACATCCCTGGTATAGCAGTGCCATAAAATCAGGGTGTTGAGAGTCCTCTAATCCGTTTCAGAATATTTGCTTCTAAAAGGAACTTGGAAATGTGTTGATCAAACAAAGAATATGGTTAAAAAACCAACCTGAAACAGAAACTTAAGTATGGACTGTATCAGAAATCCAGTGTTTTGAAAAGATATGAAAAAAATGTGAATTTTCCTTTTAAACCCTTAAACTTTTGCCAGCCTATATCACCTGGGCAAATATCTACAGAGCACTTTGGGTCTGTGCCTCGTAAGTGCTTCATGATCAGCTGCCTGGCACCATGAGTTGACCCCCAAATGTTAGTGCTGGGAGAAGGCAGTGTGCCCACACATACCATCTCTTAAACCTTTCTTTTTTGAGCACAGTCCTAATTCAAAAGTATATGAAGATGAGACCAGACATTTACCTACTGGGTTTTTCTAATTGCAACTCAACTGTATAACTGAACATTTACTGTTTCTATCGTTGCTCTGGTTTTCATGAGGACAGTGTCTTGGAAGCAACTCTTTCTCCTTATTAAGAGTGTGCTGCACTGGCAGCTGGGGGGGG